GTTAAGTTTCATCAAGTCAGTTCCAACTCACAGGAACCCTCTACAGGGTTTCCAAGAAGTGGCTGGTGAGTTTGAACCACTGACCTTCTGGTTCAAATTGACCTTTCAGTCCAGTGCCTTATCCTACAGCACCACATCAGAACTCTGAGTTGACTTGGAAAGGCACATATGACTATTTTTTTTTTTTAATTAAAAAGTTTTTATTCTGGATTATGTGAAAGTTTACAGGACAGACCATCAGTTTTTACATTCAACAAATCATATACTTTGTTTCATTACTATGATTATAATCCTCTTCATGTACTATCAGTTAATAGTATTTCTCTCTATTCATTTTAGCTCTTTTTTTTTTAAACACACTCAGGCATATATAATAATTTAAACCACCAAAGGGCATTCTGCAAGCCTGCCTCCTGGCCACCAGCTCTTAGTCCCTCTAATTCCATGAATTTAGTTCTTAGGTTCTCCTTCTCTCCATGTTCCCATCTCTACCTCCATCTTTGATGTTGCTACTTCTCTGGATAGAGTCTCACATTCTGTTTGTGCTCTTCTCTCTTGATGGTCCTAGGATCCTCTGTTTCTGGACTGTAAGATTAACTACTCCCCCATTTTTGTTACAAAACTTCTACCTTTACAATTGTGACAGACATGACTTTCTTAAGAAGTGGAGATGGAAGGGTATTTCCAGACAGAAAACCACAATACAAGAACAATACTGTGCTTGGGAAACATTGTATCTGCTTATAGGCCATGTTGGGATAGAGGGAGGACACGGATAGCTGGAAAGGTTGTGTGGAAGTCAGTTTATGAAGTGTAGCTTCAAATAGGGGCATGAGATGATTATATGTGTGTTTTAGTATAAGTCTGGTGCTTGTGTCAACTAGTTAGAGGAACATAGGATTGAAAGTTGCCTATAAAGGCATAAAAGATGGGGAGGGCTTGAACTCAAGCCAGAAGGAATGAGGGTAGATAAGCTGGAAGTAAGAAATACCTCTGAGGAAGAACTGCTAGGGGTTGGTTACCATTTGTGTATAAGAATTGATTAGTGGAGACTGAGAAATTGAGATGGACTCTGACGTTTCTGCTGTCTGTGGAGATAGTGAAGGAGGACAGTGGAGCAGTAGTTCTCAGAAGAAGTGGACATATTTAATGTATGTATATGGATTTACTTCTAGTTGCTACTCAAAATTTGCTTTGCATTTTTATTTCAGTTCTTGACATATAAACATCTTGTTTGCCTAACGAAATTATAAATAATTGTTGAATTAATGTAAGCTAATTTTTGTGTCAATGTGGCACTATAGGGTAAAGCACTAGAATGCTAACAGCAAGGTCTGTGGTTCAAACCCATCAACCATGCACCAGAAACCCTATAGAGGGTTGCTATGAGTTAGAACTGACTCGACGGCATTTAACAACAATAGCATTTGTGTTGAAGTCCTGGTGTGGTGGTGTAGGATAAGCACTGGACTGCTAACTGAAAGGTTGGAGATTCAAACTCACTAGTCTCTCGATGGAAACCCTATTCAGGGTTGTTAGGAGTTAGAACTGACTGGATAACACTTAACATCAACAGCAGCAAATGTTTGGGACAAGAGAAATCACATGTAGGTATACAATGGAGGAAGATGTGAGGCTGAAAACACTCTCTAAGAAAATCAGAGAGGGCTAGATAATATGGTTTTAGTGAAAAATAATACATAGGAAGGAGGTAGACTGGAGGATGACTTTGTAGGGCATGGTCATGAGTTTGGAACTGATAGGAAAGTGTCTTGAGAAGATATAGTCATGGTCAGTGTTGAGATGACTCTTGGGATTACACAGTAAGCATTTGTTATCTGTGCTCTTCATTTGGTACTTAGTACATGCTACTTTGTATTGAGGTATGTGTGTCCTGGATCCCAAAGCAAATGGTCATAAACTTGTCAGGAAACATGGCTAAGTCCACATACTATACTCTATGGACATTTGTTAAATTTATTTGTGGATAGACTCTCTTAGACAAGAACAGTAGGGAGCAACCAACTTTGTATTCATGAAGTACAATTCAGGATAAAATGTTCATGGTTCTGTTATAACCCTTGGGCTTTTTAGCAGTTAAATGACCTTACAGAAGTAATAAAGTATATTGCAAAAAAAAATGTGGGTACTGGAGTCAATAACTTGAGTTTGAAGTCCAGCTTTCTATCTACATTACCTTATTTGAACTCCGTATGCTTTGGTTTTCTCAATGATATGAAGGTATGAAAGAGGCACTAAGATTTGTGAAGACTAAATTAATTAATATCTGTCAATAGCTTAGCACAGTGCCTGACACATGGCAAATACTCACTACATCTTGGGTATCACTAGATTCACACTCTTAGATACCAATAAGAAAAGAGGATCTACTCTAAAGAAGTGTGTATGGGGCTATGTTGTTGTTGTTAAGTACCGTGGAGTTGGTTCTGACTCATAGTGACTCTGCACAGGGTTTCCTAGGCTGTAAATCTTTACAGGAGCAGAATGCCTCATCTTTCTCCCATAGAACTGCTGGTAGTTTTGAACTGCTGACCTTGAGGTTGGCAGCCCATCTCGTAACCACTACGATACCAGAGCTCCTTGTGTGGAACTATAGGCAAGGCCATATGTTGTACAATCCCAGAGGTCACATTGTATCTCAGTCTGTAGTGCCATAGGTCATTGTTCTGGATTCATACTGTAGGTTTCACTTGCACTCTTATTTCATCCTTATATCAATTCCTCTATGATAATGGGGAGTCCTGGTGTGGCGCTGTAGACTGCAAAGTTGGTTTGAACCACAAGATCAGTGGTTCATGCTCCTCAGAAACCCTATACAGGTTCACTATGGGTAGGAACTGAGTTGAAGGCACTGAACAATGACAATATGATAAGAGAGTCATGGTGTGGCACTATGGGATAAACTACAAGGTCAGTTTCAATCACAAGGTCGGCAGCTCAAATTCGCCAGTTGCTCCTCAAAACTGATACAGGGTTGGTATGAGTCAGAACTGACTTAATGGCCCTTAACAACAACAACATGATAATGAGGGAGTTCCTGGGTGGTGTAAACAGTTAACATATTTGGCTACTAACCAAAAGATGGGGGAAGCTTAAGTCTACCCAGAGGTACTCAGAAGGCCTGGCAACCTATTCTGAAGAATTAGCCATTGAAAACCCTTTGAAGCAAACATGAGTTCCTTTGATACACATGGAGTTGCCAGAGTTGGAATCATTGGAATCAACTTGATGAAAACTCGTGTGTGCATGTGTATATGATGAAGGGGAAACAAGTCCAAATCCATAGGTCATGAATGACATTTGTAGTAGAGCTTATGATAGTGCTCATTCAAAACATCATTAAGATTTCCTCTGCCTTAGTCTGGGCCTCCCACCTCCATGTGCTCACTTGCTGAATGCTCATTCACTGGGCTAACATCAGATTCTAGGAGGCCCCAGCTGGGGACTAAGGCACTGCCCTCCCCCAGGAAGTGCTCTACACAGGCATCTGCAGAGAAGTGATTACAAAAAGCTTAGGGTCAGTAGTTATGGTCACCTTGAAGATAACCCATCCTTTTCTGTCTCCACCCGTATCTTTCATTCATTATGCCACTCTTTCTTTTTGAAACTCACACTGTCTCTCTACTCCTCTGGAAGAGTGAGTTTAAACTAGGCCTTGGGTCAAGGTGAAACTAGGGGGCTGAGCAGAGTTTGGAACCTGGCATCGTAGATTGCTTGTCAGTATTCTAGATTTTCTCCCAATTCTCTTCTAGCTGTAACATTCATAGAAGTACTCCATCCCAAGTTTGGTTTGAACTTGCCAGCCCCTCCACAGAAGCCCCTCCTCGGAAACTTATGAGTCGGAACCGACTCGATGTCATTTAATAACAACAGTGATGATTCAGGGATTTTTAAAGCATGCTGTTCAGTTTGTCATACTGTGGTGGTTTGTGTGTTACTGTGATGCTAGCAGGTATGCCAGGGGTGTTTCAAATACCAGCAGGATCTCCCTTAATGAACAAGTTTCAGGGGAGCTTCTTGATTAAAATCAAACTAGAAAGAAAGAATAGACAATCCACTTGTAAGGTTTTTAGCCACTAAAAACTTCATAAGTATCAGCAGAATATTGTCTGAAATTATTCTATCATAGATAGCATATTACTTCAAGATAGACTTTGACATGCTTTTTGGGGGGGGCAGGTTGAGCAGTGAATGTGATGTCATTCCTTTTAAATTTGTCATTCCTGGCATTGTAAATCATATTTGTCTGATTCAGAATGCCCAATAGCTGCTGCCCATTTCTGCTACTTAATACCTAGGATATCAATCTCTATATGTCCAATTTCATTTTTGAATGGCTTCCAATTTTGCTAGATTCATACTTTGTACGTTCCATGTTCCAATTAATAGATTTTTGCAGTTGTTTCTTCTCATTTTGAGTAGTGCCCCATCAGTAAATGAAAGACCTAAAAGTTTTGCTTCATCCTTGTCATTGAGGAGGTAACTCTACCCCAGTCATATTTTGTGCATTTTCCAAACTGAGGGCTTCATCTTGTGGCACTATACCAGACTGCAGGTATTCATAAATATCTCAGCGGCTTACCTTTCAGAAATAGTATGCTTTTTGTTTCTCCTAGTCTGTCTAAGTATGCAAGCTTTGCTGAAACATGTTCATCATGGGTGAAGTATTTGAAATGCTTTTGACAGTTTCCAGCATCACAGCAGTATGCAAGCCACCACAGTGTGACAAACTGACAGGCGAGTGGTGGGTATTAAAGCATACATTGTGTAACTCTTAATTTTTATTGTGCAATATTATACATAAAGGAAAATATGAATTTCCTTTATTATTTTCATAGACAAGATTTTGTTGCTTTAAGGAAGAAATCTGTTTCATTCTTTTAAAGACAAAATTTGTTTCAAGCTCAGTGAATAATAAGAATCCATCGGTCTCATTTGTATCAATTACTATATACTCTCTTTCTCTCTCCAACCTACAGTTTGGGGATATGGATTCCTATCAGTGACAATTATTAACTTGGCATCTCTTCTTGGATTGATTTTGACTCCGTTGATCAAGAAACCTTATTTTCCTAAGATTATGACCTATTTTGTGGGACTGGCTATTGGAACTCTGTTTTCAAATGCAATTTTCCAACTTATTCCAGAGGTAAGGTTATTTGTTTCTGTGAATAATTTTTTTTTCTTTTAAGCATTTTATTGTTTTGTACATTTTTTTTGCCTCCATAATTCTCACAGCATTTTATGATCTGATTTATAGTGTTTTGAATAAGAGAATGCTGAATCACAGCAGATATAAAAGCTTGTCCCAAACTACAGTAGATGTCAATGTTGGGGACAAAATTAATATTCTAGCTAGCCAACCACTAATACCTGCTCAGATGGCTCTTGCACACCTTAGAGGGTCTTAAAACTTTATTCTGTCTTTGGCAAATGTAATTTTTCAACATGCTGTTTTATTATTTATTTATTTTCTCAAGAGGATGCAATGTCAAATTTGCTGATGATATACTACAAAATTCCCTATGTATATACTAGAATTGCAGCTATAGAAAACTGGAGAATGCATTAAAGCTCAATTTACAAACCCTTTCTTTTCTTTTTTGGATGGTAGGGGGAAAAATTAATTTAGAGCCAATAAATAAACAACTTCTTTTTTTCTTTTGTTAAGATGCATTGATAATCTGTCATTGACCAGAGTATACTGTTCAATCAATCAACAGATAATATGAATGTTTTATTACAAAATCAGTGATGTGGTCTTCTTTTAAGGAAGAGAAACACAAGAAGTTGAATCAGTGAGATGAAAAGAGAGGGGAAGTTGATGAGGAAAGGAAAGAGAAAGAGGCATTAATAGAAAGCAGCCAAAAAAAAGTGAAACTAGAGAAATATTTGCATCATGTGTTGTACCTCCCTACTCCCATGTACACACAAAGATGGAGAGACATGCCTTGAACAAATAGAAAATAGTATTTCAAAATGGGAGTAGCAACCTCATCCCACAATTTTTAGTAAATGAAAACCAAATCCTCTTTTAGTTTTCACAGCTGTGTACAAAAGTGGACATATGCTTTCTTAGGCATGATCTAAGTATTAGTATTACCACTTGAAACAGAAAGGACCAAGAAGAACATCTATAGCAAATCCTTAATTGTAAAGATGAAAAAAAATAGAAAACCAGGGCATTAAATGACTTTGTTGTAATCACACAATCAACAGCAACGATAGGGCTATAACACAAATGTCTTGAGAGAAAAATATGTAATATATTTAATGTTATCACACTCACATATATCACACATGTGCCTTGTGGGTTGAATTACATTAATTCAGGTTGTTTCTGAATTAAATTAATTAGGTGGGTGGTTCAAGCTTACCAGCTGCTCCTCAGAGTTGGAAATGACTCAACGGTACTTAACAACCACAACAACAAACAAGCAAAGCATTTAAGACTCTTCTTTTGCTCTTCTGTGATAATTAAGGAATCATAGATATGATCATAGAATTATATAAGCATTAAATAACTCTCTGGCAATAATTCTCTGATTTAATGCAGAGTTCTCTCTTTTTTTTTTGACAAAGTTCATTTCACTTTGTTATTTCATGTTGTTTTAACAACATTTTTAATGCAAGGGGGTTTCAAAAAATTTGTGGAAAGATTAAATTAAAAGATGGAACTTTTCCATGAATTTTTTAAAGCCCCTTCATAATGTACTATATAGATAAAGACAGAGAAGTTACTCAAATGGAGATTTGGCTGCATGATCTTATCAGAAGCTTAGGACAAGGACCTTGTTGTTGTTGTTGTTACGTGGCATAGAGTTGGTTCCGGCTCATAGTGACCCTACGTACAACAGAAATAACCACTGCTCAGGCCTGGGCTAACCTCATAATTGTGGTTATGCTTGAGCCCATTGATGCTGTCACTTTGCAAATCAAACTCGCTGGTGGTCTTCCTCTTTTTCTCTGACCCTCCACCTTTGTTGTTTGTTGTTAAGTAACGTGGAGTCAGTTCCGACTCATAGCGATCCTGTGCAGGGTTTCCGAGGCTGTAAATCTTTACAGGTGCAGAACGCCTCATCTTTCTCCCGCGGAACAGCTGGTAGTTTCAAACTGCTGACCTTAAAGTTCGCAGCCCGATTTGTAACCACTACCTTACCAAACATGATATTCTTCTCCAGTGACTGGTCCCTCCAGACAATATATCTAGATTATGAGAGATGAAGTCTGGCTTCCAAGGAACACTCTGGCTGTACTTCATCCAACACAGAAATATTTGTTCTTTTAACAGTCCATGGTACTTTCAATATTCTCTTCCACCACCATAACTCAAAAACATCAATTCTTCTAAGGTCTTCCTTATTCACTGTCCAGCTTTTGCATGCATATGAAGTTATTGAAAATACCTTGCCTTGAATCAGGCACATCTGAGTCCTCAAACTGACATCTTTGCTCTTCAACACTTTAAAAAGGTCTTGTGCAGCATATTTGCCTAATGCAATATATCGTTTGGTTTCTTGACTGCTGCTTCCGTGAGTGTTGATGGTTGATCCGAGGAAAATGAAGTCTTTGCCAACTTCAATCTTTTCTCCATTGATAAGAATGTTGTTTATTGGTCCAATGGTAAGGTTTTTGTTTTCTTTACATTGGGATGCAATCCATATCGAAGGCTGCAGTCTTTGATCTTCATCAGTAAGTATTTTAGGACCTAGGCATCCTTTATACTAGAATGCTGTTCTGAGAGGTGGTTTACAATATGTACGATGGTTGATAGAAAGGGCTTTTCATGTTACTCTCTCCTCCTATTTTGTTTATTTATTTTAAATTTATGTTTCTTGTTTGTTAGGGATAGCTTGACTCTTTGTAATCTCAAACTTCATCTTTTGCTCTTTTATTCTTTAAACAGTGGATTAGCTCGTTCTTGTTGAGTATGCCTGAAAATCAATCTTAAATAATTTTTATAGTCTTGGATACAGTCTTTGATTTATTTATCTCTTTAGGAACTAAGAAATATCTCACTAGGACTAAGAGAATCTGTCCTGGGAAAACAATAATCCCAGTGGCTTGCTATATTTACTTTTAAAATGTCACTCTGGATATAATGGACAAATATATTGCTTCTAGAAAAAGTGGGTCATTAACATCTCATGTATCCTCATTACCTAGACCTCTTCCTATTTTGTGAAGGGAATTATTTCTGTGTATTCATTGCTAGAAGTTTGCCTTTCAAGGCACATTTTCCTATAAGTGTTATCACTAGAAAACTATAAAATCCTTTGATGACTATATTTAATAGGACTTTCCCTTTTTGTTACTAAAATTTTAGGGTCTTTTTATAATTTTGCATATAAACTCAATTACACTGAGTTGTGAAGATGGGCTTAGGACTTCAGTGAAAATGTATGTTAAGAAAATATAACATTAACATAATATTAATCAAGTTAAATTATTTGGTTTTACCTGAAGTAACCTTTTTTTTAAAATTTTTTCAGGCGCTTGGATTCAATCCCAAAATTGACAACTATGTTGAAAAAGCAGCTGCTGTGTTTGGTGGATTTTACATGCTTTTCTTTGTTGAAAGAATGCTTAAGATGTTACTGAAGACATATGGTCAAGTAAATAGACTTTAGTTAATTCCATTGAAATTTTACCTATAAAAATTACTTTTGCTAGGCATGGATTTTATTCTTAGAATTATGTGAAAGATACAATTATTAGGTAGACATATGAATTAAGGAGAGAAAAGAGTCAATATATTAACCAGTATAAAAGAAATGCTTGATTAATTCACAGTGTAGAATTTGAGCAAGTATTAACAGTTTAATGTCAAATTACAGAGATGTGTAATTAATATTTAATTCATATTCATTGAAATAAGAAAATGTATCTATCCTATCATGAAAATAATAGTCAATAGAAGCTGTGCAATGAGAATATATTAAAAGGGAGAGAAATTTTGTAAATCTAAAATATTACATTGAATACATATAGAATACAGAACAATTTCCTCTTACAAACAAAAATTAGTTAACTCTATTTGCTTATCTGTGTGAGTCATCTAATATTTATTTATTCTTTCTATAAATTCTACTTCCTCCATTTATTTTTCCCATTTAGAATGATCATACCCACTTTGCAAATGATGATTTTGGTCCTTCTCAAGAAAAAACTCCTCAACCTAAAGCAGTACCTGCCATTAATGGTGTGACATGCTACGCAAACCCTGCAGTCACAGAACCGAATGGACACATCCATTTTGATAATATCAACGTAGTATCTCTACAGGTATGCTGATTCCATTTTTTATTTATAATACTACATGCTTTATAAGATGTAAAATCCACTGCCACTGAGGTGATTTCAACTCATAGTGATACAGTTGGGCAGAATAGAACTGCTCTTTAGGGTTTCTGAGATGGTAAGTTTTTATGATAGTGGACACCATCATCTTTCTCTTATGGAGTAGCTGATGGTTTTGAACTGCCAACCTTGTGGTTAGCAGCCCAGTGCTTAAGCCATGATACCACCAGAATTCCCTATACTATCTGGAGAAAGATGAGGCTTTCTGCTCCTGTAAAGATTTACAGCCTCAGAAACCCTATCTAGGTTCGCTATGAGTGGAACCGACTCCACGGCACACCACCACCACCACCATATAAAGGTTGCTGTAAATGTGGCCAAGCCAATCTTTTGTACATTTAAATACCTATCAGGCTTATTTCTGGATATGTGGGGTAAATGGAATGTAAACTTGCATACATTTCCCACTTTCCCCTTGATATGCTCACTTTAAACAATTGAATTGAGCAAGAAATTGTGGATTGCTGGAGTTGGGGCTTCATTATTTTAAAAGAATGTTTACCTATAGAGAAATATCTTAATTAGATTCATACAATAATATGTGGCAGAATTAATTCATGCCATTTCTCATATTTTGCAATTCTGTCAACATCTAAAACCAAAAAATCGGTTTAGGTGATTTTGAAAATGTAAGAAAAAAGATTTGCAAGCTATTACATTTGTGGCCATTAATTGATGAAAAAAATTGTTTTAACATCTTCTAAATAATAACATTGATATAATTTTTTGAGCAAGTATTTGTTGTTAAGTGCCGTCAAGTAGGTTCCAACCCATAGCGACCCTGTATAGGGTTTTCAAGGAGCGACTAGTGAGCTTGAAGTACCCACCTTGTGTTTCAAACCGACTATGTCATATGCACTGATGACTTAGTGGTTAAAGTGCTTGGCTACTAATCATGAGATTTGTGAATAGAATCTACTAATCTCTCTGCAGGAGGCAGATATAGCAGTTTCCTGTAAAGATTACAGCCTTAGGAGCCCTTTGGAACAATTCTACGCTGCCCAACAGTGTCACTGTAAAAAATATGGCACCAACCATCTCTCCCATGACACTTTCTACTTCTCATCTGTTCAATAATCCATTGCAATGGACACACAGAACTCAGAGATACCACTCACAGTTTTGGAGCTTATTAGGAAAGTTAATAGGTTACAATGCTGTTGTTGTTAAGTGCTGTTGAGTTGGTTCTGACTCATAGCAACCCTGTATAAGATTTGAATCGCTGGCTTTGTGGTTCAAACCAACCTTTCAGTCTAGTGCACGATCCTGCATCACCACATCAGGAATCAACAGGCTCCAATACAGGGTCAATAATGCTTAAGTCATAGGTGTTTGATTCAGAATAGCCTCTCTAAGCCAGGCTTTCTACTCCCGTAAAGATTTACACCCTCGGAAACCCTGTACAGGGTTGCTATGGGTCAGAACCGACTCGAGGGCACTTAACAACAACAACAACAAGCCATGTCTACAGGCTCTGTCTGCCCAGCCAATGTTACAAAGCTCTTTGAAGGCTACTGATAAATGCCCACAGGACACACCATTCCACCATTAACCTCAGCCTGAATGCACTGGGCTTAACTCCCTTGGTCAGCAAACCTAGTCTCTTCCTACAATTAAGTGCCTGGAGGTATCCTACTCTGCAAACAAGAGTCACTCAGATTCGTTTGCTCTGTGGTCTGGGAAGCTCACTGCTCTGTGTATGCTCTGGTTCTTGGTTCTGCTGCTGTTGCTCCTCTGCTACTCCTCCAGGGTCACCGCTCTCTGTCCCTAGGTTGAGGGGGTTCGATGAGCAAGGATCTCAGGGTCCAAGTGACGTACTCCACTCCTGGCTCTTCTTGTTTGATGGTAGTAAGATTTCCCCTCCTGCTTCTGAGATGGTTCATTTCACATTTGATCTTCATTTCATATTATTATGTCATCCTAATAATATCTTCTCCCACCTTCTCTTATCCAGATAAAGCAGGGTAGAAAGCATTGTTTGGCAGGAGTTATAGTCTGGTAGCATAGTGGTTACGAATCAGGCTGCGAACCTTTAGGTCAGCAGTTGGAAACTACCAGCTGCTCCGCAGGAGAAAGATGAGGCTTTCTACTCCCGTAAAGATATACAGCCTCGGAAACCCTGTACAAGGTCACTATGGGTTGGAACCGACTTGACGGCACTTAACAACAACATAGTATATGGTGAGAGTCCTGAGAGTTCAGTGAGATAAGAGGTGGTTGCTAACCACAAGGTCAGCAGTTCAAATGTACCAGCTACTCTTCGGGAAAAAGATGAGACTTTCTGCTCCTGTAAAGATTTTCAGCCTCATACAGGGTTGCAACCAACTAGGTGGTACACAACCACCACCTATAGACTGTGACTTGAAGATACATTACAGAATTTACTATACTGCAGTCACCAAGAGTCAGAATCGACTTGATGGTAGTGCTAATATGCTAATTATTTAAGTAGATTATCTCATTGTTTTGTAACAACAATACAAACTAGTAATTACTTTCTATGTATTAAAATTATTTTGGTGTTAAGTGATGGAAATCAAACTCAAATTATTTATCAAAAGAAGGCTGATTAGAAGGATATTGGGTGTCTACGAGAACAGGAAGAACTGAAGTGCTATCAAAACCATTAAGACTCATTCTCCTCTTTCCTGCATCTTAGCATCATTTTTTTTTTCTCTTTCATTGTGGACCCATTTATTCCATAAGTGGAAAACATTACCATTAAGCAACCTCTGAGATTTATTGCTTATAATTTTAGACACTGGTAGGTAGGAAAAGGAACAGACTTTTTTCTGAGTACTAAATCCGAAATTCTTCAAAAGCCTGAATTTCTTGTGCACTTATAACGACATCATAATCATTTAGAAGATGGGATCACTTAAATGATTCTCAAGAGAGTATGGATGGAGTAGAAGAATGGTTATTAAAAAAGGAACATTGGGATAAGAGTGTCTTTGTTAACTACAACAATGCCCATTCAAAAGATGAGAAAAGTGAAACATTAAATATGAAATAACTTATGAAATTAAACACAATGTAAAGAGGAAAATTAAAAATAATCTCAAAAAAGGAATACTAGTGAATATCTTTGGTGTCTACATCAATGCCTATTTAACAGATGAGGAAAGTGAAACTTTAAATATTACATAACATAAATTATGAAGTTAAACACATTTTGAAAGAAGAAAATTAAAAATAAAGTCAAAAGAAATGCTAGTTTTTTGTTTTTAAAAAAGCAGGAAAAACGTTTATGGTAAATGACCATGCCTGCGTTTCTTTCTGGAAAGAGAACTTAATTGATCATATGATTCTCCCCATCTAATTAAATAATTTATTCTATTTAATGTAATGAACGGTACTTTTAGTCAAGATTTTGCAAAGAATATGGAGATGTTTATATAGAAAATTTCTTGCAGTAAGTCAGTTAAGATTTTAAAAATACTCATTATATATTAAAGACTTTAGATTAATTGCCTTATTTGATCCTCATAATAAATTAAGGGGTACAACTATTATAGGTGGTGGTTATGAAGTGCTGTCGAGTCAGTTCCGACCCATAGCAACCCTGTATAGGGTTTCTGAGGAGCAGCTGGTGAGCTTAAACTGCCAGCCTTGCAGTTCAAACAGCTTTGTGGTCTGGCACATTAACCCACAGCACCACACCAGGACTCCATGGAGTTGGTTTCGATTCATAGTTACCCTATCTAGAGTAAATCTTTATGGGAGCAGAAAGCCTCATCTTTCACTGCGGAACCAACCACTGGTAGTTTCGAATTGCTGACCTTGAGATTAGTAGCCTGACTCCAAATCACTGCAAGCTGAGGCGCTAACAGAAAGGTTAACAGTTTGAATTTACCACTGGATTTGCGGGAAAAAAGATGAGGCTTTCTGTTCCCGTAAAGATTTATAGCCTCAGAAACCCTGTAAAGGGTTGCTTTGAATTGGACCTGATTCCATGGCACATAACCACCACCACCACTACTACCACTGTTATAGAAGTCCTGGTGTGGCATTGTGGAATAAAGCACTGGACCACAAGGTCAGTTTGAACCACAAGGTCAGTGGTTCAAACTCACGGGCTGCTCCTTGGAAACTATATATACAGGGTTGCTATGAGTTGGAACCAACTCAACAGCACTTAACAACAACAACAACAGCTGTTATAATTGGACTCCTTCTGTGGTGCTGTAGGATCAACACTGGACTGTGAACCACAAGGTCAGCAGTTCAAATCCACCAACTATTCCTTGGAAACCCTATACAGGGTCACCATGAGTCGGAACCGGTTTGACGCTTAACAACATCAATAAGTGTTATAGTTGGACTCCTGGTGTGGCACTGTAGCATCAGCAGTAGACTGTGAAACACAAGGTTGACAGTTCATACCCACCAGCTGCACCTCGGATACCCTCTACAGGGTTGCTATGATTCAGAACTGACTTGATGGCACTTAACAACAGTGTTATAAATGGAGTCCTGGTATGGCACTGTAGGATGAGCACTGGACTGCTGACAAATAACTCAAGAAGTGTCAATCAGTTATTGATTAAACGATTGATTAATAATGCTTCAGTACTAGATTTGTTAGAGCCAGAAGATGTGTTTACAGTAAATCATGACAAGGATGAAATCCTATCCTTGATTCTCTTTTACGTCATTTAGAAATATGTGTATCATTTTAGAGTCCATTCTTATAGGCTTTTATTAGTTTATTCAGTAAATATTTATTGAGGACCTGCTGTATGCCAAGCATCATCCTTGGCGCTCGGGATTCAGAAGCAAACCTTATGGAGCTTTCAGTTTATTCAGCAAAACAGACTATATAGAAAAATAAAATAAAGTAAGAAACTATCAAATAGCAATAAATACATTGATGAAAATAAAACAAGGTGATGTGAGATTGACTTTCAGGGGCTTTTTTGTTT